GGTTGATTGTGGTTTTTTAGATGTTTGGAAAAGTGAGTAAATAATCAGGATCGAGTTCGATGGTGCTTGCTCGATGATCGATGTTGCGTTGCGTCGATATTTTATTCTCTAATATTTATTTTGGGAAATTTTTAATTACAGAGAAATAGGTGTTGGGGCTCGAATTTTGGGGCTGTAGTGTTTCCTGTTATGTGTTATTGATTAATCCTTCTCTCATCTTTAATTTCACTCGAACATTGATCCTTGAGTGCTGGGTGGCTGAAGATTGGTTGGATCGTGTTTTTTTGGGCACTGCGTATAGCTAAATTGTTCTAAGCATGTAAGAATTCTGTGTATGCTTAAGAAACATAGAAGAAGGTAACTGGCATTTCAATTATTTATAAATGACGTTGGGGCATTGTTGCAGTTGAAGATAATGGTCTATGCAAAAAGTAGCAAGCAAGAGGGTTCTTACTATGCAATTGGTTATTGATGTACACTGCCCTAGTTTGAACTTAAATTCAGTGTTAGGAAGTATACATTTAAGAGAACCATAGTGATCTAACTCCTGAACTCGGTTTTTACCAACCAAATTTTCACTTACTACCCTTGTTCTGTGTTAATTGTCTGCTAAGGATTATTGGGAGTGAGTTCCACATTGGTTAATTTAGTGGAAGACTATGAGTTTATAAGTGAGGAATACTGTATCCATTGGTATGAGGCCTTTTGGGGAAGCTCATAGCAAAGCCATGAGAGCTTATGTTCAAAGTGGACAATATCATACCATTGTGGAGAGTCGATTCCTAACATGGTATCAGAGCCATGCCCTAAACTTAGCCATGTCGATAAAATCCTCAAATGTCGAACAAAGAATCGTAGGCCTCGAAGGTGTAGTCAAAAGTGACTAAAGTTTCGAACAAAGGGTGTACTTTGTTCAAGGGCTGCAAAGAAAGAGGTCGAGCCTCGATTGAGGGGAGGTTTTTCAGTTTTGTGTTTTACCTACCAAACTCGCCACAATACTTGCATTGGTAACGCCTCCTACGGTGATAAGTAACCGACACCTTGACACCTCTCAGTTCACACGTTTTGATTTCTCTTCCAAAACCGGCTCAAATTTTATTTTTCATAACATTGACATGGGGTTGGGTCAAGGAATACTCCTTCAAGTCTTATTTATATTCTCACAGTCACACTACACTTTCATTATTATGCACCGAGCCTCATTCATGGGATGTGAAATCTCTAAGTTTGCGTCTTCATTCCCCTCAATGACAAAAATTTGTCTCGTCGTGATTCATGATATTATCCATCCATCAACTAATTGTACTTTATCCAGTGTTTGAGCTTTCTTCTTGTTATTGGAAACTACGAAGGTTAGTAGCACTGATTATAAAAAGGAAAGTGAGATTTTTTTTATGGGTAACAAGTGTCGAAAAGTTGAGCCATCTTGTTAACCAGCACATTGAAGCTGTACACTAGAGTTGGGAAGGGCTTGGAATGGATAACTTAGGGAGGGGAACATAATCTCTTGATAAAATGGCCACTAAGACTCCCTCTAAAGATTAAAGAACTTTGGAACAGAAGTGATTACCAGTTACTACAGGAAGAAGGAGGGGGGTGGTTGGCCATACAGAGACAGTGTGAAGTACATGTAATCCTTGGAACATATCTAACCTAATAGAGTGCTTTTCTTCAATTAAAGTGTCTAGTGCGTTAGATTCATCCTTTTGGAACAACTTTTGGGTTGGGATTAGCCTCTGTCTATGGTTTTTACGATTTGGCATAGTGATATCTAATAAGGAGTGTGACAATCCAATGGGCATGGGGGAGAATTCTAGTTATTGGAAGGAAGGTACTTTCTAGAAATTCTTCTACCGTTTTTTGGGTAAGAGGAGGTGAGCGAGCTTCAAGATCTGAATGAACTACATCCAGAGGGGAGGACAATCAATTTCCCCCGTATTTAATTATCCATTAAAGACTCAATCATGTTATAATGATGCAAACACAAAGTTGAGTTCTGCTATCACTTGGACATGATGTGCAACCTGGACTACCATACAATTGCGTTGATCTTTAGTACCCTCCGGTCATTTCATCTCAGCTTCTAGCTTCACAGTTCCATCTCTAGACATCTCAACCAGTGAGAATATTTGCAAAAATCAAGCTCGTACATCTGGTTGGAAGAAAAACTTATACACTGATCTTAGTATTAAGAATCATTAAAAAAGACTAGCCTCTATCCAGCCAGCCTACAACATACCAACTACGAAAGCCTTGAGAACAATTACTTATAAAAGACATAGTCATTGATGCAAAACTAAAGTTATTTGTTGAACATGCGGATGACTTTGGCTGTAGGATAGGGCAGGGTCATGATATTATGAAGGGCGTTTGGCCAATGATACTTGATGGGAAAAGGAAACTTCAAGTGCAAGAGGGCATAGAACCAAAAGCACGCTTTGAACAAAAATTTACAATGGTGTTGGAGAGATTCCTCATAGATATGGGTTCATATTTGAGGCATTTTGTGTTTCATTCCATGGGCAGGTGGATTGATATATCTAAGAGGCAATGCAAAATTTTGTTTTTAATAGTGATAGGTGAGCATGCTAATGGAGGAGTTTTGGGAGCTATTTCTTCCATTGAAGTCAAGTTGAATTGCCATGGTAACAGTGAAAAGTCCGAGAAGTAGTTTACTATCTTCTGGTTCAAAATTGAAAATAATGGTTACCAAAGATAAATTCTTCAGTTTCATCCTCGGCTTGGAACTGATTGAGAAAGGCTATCTAAATTTGCTATCTTTAACCAGAAATGAGAAATGTTTTTTTTTTTTTCTTTACTTAAACTTCAAAAGTTCTATATTATAAAGAAGACATTTTACGAGGTCAAGAAATTTTGTGCATACTTATGCTGGAGTTATTTAATATTTGGCTCTTTATTTCTCTATTTCATGCTTTGCAAATATATTTATATTTCAATGTTATTTACCAAATTAAAACTTACATGCATGGTTCATTATGATACACGATATACTAAAATTTAATTTTGATACTCGTTCTGTTTCATGAGTTAAACAACCTTGGTTACGATATCATTTGATACAAAGTACATACAGAATCTAAATTTTTGTTGCATCATTCCCTTCGGTAATTGCAATGGGAAGCAGTTACAATATTCTCCAGTTCTCGTTTGTTTGCCATTTACTAAATGCATTGTGCATTGAGTAGAAAACTTTTGGGCAAAAATGGTGAACGTCTTTGTCTATTATTGACCATGGAATGAGAAGAGCTAATTTCATAAAATTGTTATGAACTTATGATATCATTTAACGAAAGCACATACTTTTAGATAAACACGGGTTCCTTCTCTAAACCAATTAGCAATGAGGGGAGTAATTCATCTTTCCAATGTGGGATCCTCAACATGCCCCTCAAGATGGGACCTCTTTGGATTTGCCACTCTTGAATCCGATTCCAATTTGTTTTTAGACTGAATATTCATTTGAGCTTTATAGGCTATGATACCATGTTAGATACATATGGAGTTCTATCTCAAAATCCATTGACAATGAGAGACGCAATCCATGTATTTTATAAAGATTGTGTAGTCTCTGATGTGGGATTGACACCATGCCCTCTCAAGACTTCTACAAAATCAAGATCAACATGAAGACTGCAGTTGCACCACCCCCTTTGGAAGCTGGTGGGGGAAGCAGCGACAAGTTTCTTCAAGCTCTCGTTTGAACTATGTTTGTTTGTTTCTGAGAGGACCCATTGTTTAATATATTACAATCATGTACACTATAATTATTTGCTCGATATGCCTATCCATTCCTGGAAATTTAGGGAACTTATCTGCACTTTTCATTCCTAAACATACATTTATTTGTAGGTGGAATCACTCACTAACCAGGAAGAAGTTGAATTGCGTACAAAGATCGAAGCCCTTGGTCTTGAAGTTACGAAAGTACCCTCAAAGTCCTTAAAGCAGCTTGATGAAGTCAGTCTGGTTATCATTATACATTCATTGCATTTATCTTTGCCCAATTGCAAACACTTTCTTGAAGAGATTGATTTTTATGTCTATTTTTTTGCGTTCTACTCAGTTGGAAATTTCCAAGGAGTTGGATAAGCTATCTGAAAAGCTAGATGATGTGGATGAAATGATATCTTCAGCAATGGCTGCAGACCCACAGGTGCAGTCTCTGTTGAGTGATACTGCTGATATTTGGATGCCTGTGATAACTGCTTCCGCTGATGAACGACGAAAATTCACAGCTTCTGTTGGAGAAAATTCAGAAACAGAAGAGAATTGTGGCTGTTAGATATATATATTTAATTTTTTGCTTATTTATTTAAGGAATAAGTATAGTAATTTCATTGCTATATCACAATTTTGTTATATTTGACAAAGAATACGTCTTTACGGCAGCATTTACATTGGTTGGAATGTACTGTTTCCACTGTATAATTTATTGTGCCATCTTGTCTGTAGTAATCCTTCATAATTCTCTAGAGATTGAAGTTACGAAGCCTTTTTGTTGACGTAAAGTAACATCAAGTATGCTGATTGTTATATTTATCTTTTTTTTTATTAATTTTTTGCTTGAATGAAATTATGTTTACAGTGAGTGGAAAATAAGTTTTTGATAGTGTAATAAATGACGTTATAATTGCACTCAAAACTTTAATATCTTAATATCGTCAAACTTCTTCTTTGGCATCCTACTTTAATGCTTTTGTAAAAATGTCGAGAATTTGAAACATTTTTAGTGTTTAAAGTTAATTTTTACGGTATAAAAAACGTGTTAGTATAAAATCAAATATGGTGAATAGTTAAAGTCGCCCTCACAATTGAGTAGTGATTTTGAACTTGACAAAATCACTTCCAAACTATTGATAATCCTACACAAAAAAGCAAAATACTTGAGATGTGACGAAATTATCGACTTCGTACATTCTATTCCTGAGACGGATCACCTAAGGAGGCTTGACTTGGACATTTTAATAGATGGGATAGTCTACACAATACGTTAAGTCCATTTAATTATAGTTTATGGAGTCACCTGCCTGTGAAGAATGCCTTCCTCACAATTAAACAGAGTTGAAGGCTGAAGCAAGGCATAAAAGAGATGAAAATAAAAACTATTCATTAGAAGTAAGCTAAAAAAACTAGCTAAAAAGTGAGTTGTGTGATAGGAATATAACCACACGGATTTAAGCTTCTAAGGCAACATGAATTATGCCAATAATGGCATACTATGTTGAGATCAGCTTGACGACTAGACCTATAAGTGAAGTGGCAGCAGAACTGAGCATCCAGAGTAGGAGGGAAAAGACAAAGATTCCAGCCAAGATAGTAAGAAATGGAGGACCTTGGGCGTCACTACTTGCTTTACTCGAACCATTTTCCTCCTCGATGGAATTTCCGTCTGAGGAATTTGAGGCTGTTATAGAAAAAGATCTTGGACTCAATTCCAATCCTTTGGTGTTCCTGTACCTGCATAAAAGGAATCACGCAAGCACTAATCTGAGTAGCAATATTGTGAAAACAAATATCAGTCATCTCAGGCTCATTGTGTCTAGAATTTAGATTTGTAGATCAAGCGAAAACCTAAACGAATAACAGAGGACAATGAAGATGGAACCAGGAATGATAGGAACCTGTATTTTCCACTTCAGTACTTCCAGAGGATTTTAAAGAGGAAACTCCGTATCATTGAAAAGACAGAATCCCCTTGGCTTGTAAGAATTTAGAGATGCTGATGGGTTTGATATGTGAGATCCCACATCGGTTGGAGAGGAGAATGAAACATTCCTTATAAGGGTGTGAAAACCTCTCCCTAATTGACGTGTTCTAAAAATTATGAGGCTGATGGTAATACGTAACGAGCCAAAACGGACAATATCTATTAGTGGTGGGTTTGGGCTGTTACAAATGGTATCAAAGCCAAACACCAAGCGGTATGCTAGCGAGGACGCTAGACCTCCAAGGGGGGTGGATTGTGAGATCCCACAACGGTTGAACATTCCTTATAAGAGTGTGGAACCCTCTCCCTAACAGACGCGTTTTAAAAACTGTGAAACTGACGGCGATACGCAATGGGCCAAAGCGGGCAATAGCTGCTAGCGGTGGGCTTGGGCTGTTACAGACTCATTTCACTTCATTTTAACAGTTTTTGTGCATCAACAAGAGCATACTTTGTGCATCCAACAAGAGCATACTTTGTGCATCCAACAAGAAGTTGGACTAGCAGCTCAGTTGACGGATTCTGGTCTGCTATTTCCTGCCCCTTTGCTTTAGCAGTGGTTAACCCAAAAAAATCCAAATTCTTTTTCAAGATACCATATAGGCCATTTCAGGACAATCATTTCCCGAACATATTAATTATAACTACTTCCCTATCAAAGAAGAGCTTTCAGGAAGAACTAATAAGACTTTCCCTAGTCTTATCCGGAAACTAAAAATCAATGGACAAAATTCTATACATGCTCGTTCAGTGACCAATTGGGTAGCAAATCAAAGATTCATCCCATTAGATGTCGAACAAGATCAGCAAAATAAAGCCTCAATCCTAATACTAGTATAAGCTCTTTTTCGCTACTTGCCAAAACAAAAGCAACCAGGATTTAGTATAAGCTGTTTGCTTTAGTAGCCGAAACCAATTAAGAATCCGCAAGGCAGCAGCTATCGTCCAATTCCATTTTCAACACAGAAATGTAATAGGATTCTGCAAACATGCTCAATTCAACATTACGATCTGTATATCCTATGTGATTCGAAACGTTGAATGCGAGGGATCGAAGAAAACTGATCAAGTAAGAATCAAATTAAACGTGCGTGACATAGAAACTTATAATATAAGAATTCTGAAAAACAATACCTAATACCAGTAGAAGCACTTGGCGTTAGCAGCCAAAAGCAATTAGGAATTAGCAACTACCTGCTAAAATGGAAATTCCATTTTCAACAAAAGAATCAAAGCCGATCCACTTTATAGAATTAATTATCAGATGAACTTCATTGTTAACGAGCTCACTAGTCACATTCCAGCATATATAGAAATCCCGATATCTCCTGAGAGATCATTTAAATTGAATGCGAGGAATCGAATAACGATGGATACCTGAAAGAAGGAATTGGAAAGGCATTGGAGTGATATTGAATGCCGGCGATGGAGGAGGGAAGAACAGCTCCGTGAATCAAACTTGGGCGAGAAGTGAGATTCAGTCGAGACGGCGGCGCAGCGAAAATGGAAGCCATTCACCTTCACTCGTATTACAAAGACTTTGGAACTTCCAAAGAGAAGCGAGCTCACAAGAAACTGTGGGCGGAGAACGGATGGTGCTTAATCTATTCGTAATCCACGTGTCATTATATAATATCCGAAAATCTTTATAAATTTAATATATTTTTATAATTTATCTCTCATACATCTAAAAACGTATAAACTCGTTTAAATGGTAGTGACGTTATCGAAGGATTTCTCGAGACATTTACAAGGAAACTTTATGGTCCTATACTAATCTATTGAAAGGAGCCTTTAAAAACGGAGAGAAGTCTAATATGTCTTAAACGTTAAGTTTATGTCTATTTAGTTAGTCGTTAAATCTTAAAAATTATCCAACACGTCCTTAAACGTTCTATTTTGTATCCAATGGACACGTAAAATTTTCATTTTGTGTTAAACTTTCACACACATTCCATAAACTTATTAGATACAAATTGAAAGTTGATGATTCAATTTTATATTTAATATAACAGGTAATTTTTAAAATTGTCGAATATGTTACAGACCTATAAGATATAAAAGTTGTGGACTTCTTAAAAATTCTTTTAGTTTAGGGACCTTTTAACCATACTATTAGAAGTTTGGAGACTTATTCTTTTAACCATACTATTAGAAGTTTGGAGACTTATTAGGCACTTTAAAATTTATAAACCTCCTATCGGCAAAATTAAATGTTCAAGAACTAAACTTGTAATTAGAATATTATCATATTAGTTCTAGAAAATGTTCCAGAAATAAAAAATACAGAGATGCAGTATTCAGACATGTTAGAATATAATTTATAATTTACTCTTTCTATAAAACGATATTAATCTTTCATGCAAAGTTATAGACTTTGATACTGAAAAATGCATGTATACTTCAAGGTATTCAAACCCTTTTATTTATGGCTCCCACCATTTCCTCTCCTGAATATTGTACTTCTAATGACTACTTAATGAGGCCGAACGAATAAAAATTTGTCAGAAAACCCAGCAAGTTTAAAACACAAGTGATTCTAAAAAAATACTAATCCCCGAAAGTAGTTCCAGATGATCCTGCATCTGTGTGGTTAACCATGCTTGAGTAATTATTACAAATGAGAAGAGATCTCTCACCCTGGATCAATTTGTGAAGGCTGAATGAACATTTTTTAGTCAGCCATTTTAAATCAAGCTGCTTTTTTGCAGTAGTCCTCGAGCCATTTCAACGTCACGCTCTTTGGCCTCTCGAGTGGCAATCCCAGAGCTCGGTCCCATATTAACTGAACCCACAAAATAGAATACAGTAAATATCAAAGAGTTGGGTAAAACCAAGAAGAATTGAAAATGAATGTTGAAGTAAACAAACCTGAGAGCAAATTCCAAGACTCCTTGAAACGCCAAAGAGAACAGTGAAGTACCTGCGCATAGTTAAAAAGGAAAGTTTTTAGTTATCGATTAGTTAAAACTTGAATGCGTACTATTGAATCACAATCTACCTTGCTTCAGTCAAACCAAAGTAGTTCAACAGCACTCCACTATGAGCATCAACGTTTGGCCATGGGTTTTTAACCTGCAAACGAGGAAAACGCCACAAGAAGAGACGATAATGTAAGATCCTTGGGTGCTCTCCACGAGTATCAACAATTCAGAGGATAGTTTCATGGAGTCAATCAAAAAATATATTATGATGATTAAAAAATGAATAAATATATCATCTTGGGATCATGTCTTGGTTCATAAACAAAGAAGATTCAGTCCATTTTACGATTATCCAAACTGGAAAGAATCTGAATCTACACGGTTGGTAAACATGATTAAAAAAAAAAAAAATCAGCCCCCCCCCCCCCCCCCCCCCCCCCCCCAAGTCACACTAACCTATCCTGCACCTCATAACTTCATGTTTTTTTTTTTTTTTAATGTTAATATGTCCATACATAAAAAAATGAGTTCATATATGCTTGTAGAAATTATTAGTACGGAATATGAGGAGCATGCACAACTGAGCTAGTAAAGAGAGGCTTATCAATTTGCCTTGCCAAGTTCTGTCAGGATGGGTGGCACAACTTCGTAGAGATTGGATACCTGCAAATGCCCATGCTAGGTTATCGAGTGAAGGATTTACAGATTAAGTAAAAAAAAAGAGATCTATACAGGTTAAAATATATGTTAATTTAAGTCTTCAATCAGGGATAAGTGACAACCAGCTGAAAAAGAGGATCGTCGGGCAAATGCTTCAAGGCGAACTCTCTCTGACAAGTATATCTTGGATCTGTTTTACGCAGAACTCCATGACCAAATCCTGGAACAACCTACAATTTCAAAAGAATGATAAGAAATTGATGAAAGTTCCTTCAACGAATATGCAACCTTAAATTTGAAAAGGAATTGCGTAATCCTCTTCCTATAGTAGACAAGATCCAAAGTGTTTATGAAAATGGGAAAAAATGTCTCCCAGATAAACAAACCACTATGACGGAAATGCTTGAAGGAAAATTTTCTCTAACAGTGTTAACTAAGGGGAGAATTAGTGAATTTTCCAACTTAAAAAAAGGCCAAAAATATGTATTCCTATAATGAAGACCTGAAGAGAGACAAACAGTTGTTATTATACAACAGAAGTACAGTCAGCAAATTACACAAATGATACCATCTTTTTATAAGCGAAGCTGAAGGTAAATTAAGTATGAGCTCCATGCCTGACCTTTTTAGCTAGAGCGAAAATGAAGAATGAATTTAAGTTGATACCTTGCCACTGTTTAGTGTTTTCCAAACATAGTCTTTCAACTGCTCCTTAGTTATGTTCTCTCCACATTCATCCACAACAGATTTGATCCAAAGCAAAACTTCCTGCAAGCAGTGTAAATTGAGCAACAAAATTGGCAACCTTTACATGTTGATTAAGATGCATAGGGAAAAACATTTGCTATGCATTCATGCCATAAAGCCGATTAATATTAGTTAAGGTTAACACTAAAAAATTACTTGATTTCAAATCTACAGATAAAAACAGAAGAAATAAGTTCCATTGCTCAAAAGATACGTAGCAGAAGCAAAAAAAAAATCTGAAGAATGTTGATAAGGTACAATCAGACTATCCAATACGCTTATGAAGAATAAACCCAAAGAATCTTCTCGATACCTGTTGCTTCTCTACTGATATTTTTTTCCCCAAGATAAATTGAAGGTAAATGGCTCGAGGGGGGAAAAAGTAGTAAGAATTAAGTCCGTCACTATAATGAGAGTGTCACAGATAATAATTGTATACTCTATTAAAAGTTCAGTACTAAATGGAGGGGAAGAAAGAGTAGCTATTAGAAAACAATCTACCCCGCACCTGATTTGCCAAACCATGTAATGGCCCAGCCAGACCATTTAGAGCAGCAGCAAATGAAAGATAAGGATCTGAAAGTGCGCTAGCAACCTGCATAAAAGTTTTAAATAGCTCAGAATGACATGGGCATGAACGTTGATGTGCAGAAACATTACACTGACTACCGCTTGAAATGGCCATGTTTCAATAATTATGCAACAGAAGTGTAGATTATATAAGATGCAATAAAATACAAAAGAGAAAAGAAAAAACACGATTCAATAAAACTTGAGAAGCGAGATTAACTTACAAGGTGGCCAGTGTGAGCACTAACATTCCCACCTTCATGATCACTGCAGGTCATTTTTCCATATATTAGATCTTATTTTATTATTCTTCTCTCTTCCTTACTATTTTAAGATATGATATGTAGAAATTTAAATGGTCTAAATCATATGGAGTGGAATAACATATCCAATACCTATGAATAGTAACATAGAGCCTCATGAGTTCTTGCATTTGGGGACTGTCAAATCCCAACATATGTGAAAAATTCCCACCATAATCCAGAGAGTCATCTTTTGGAATTATATGGCCATCCTTGTATATCCTTCATAAATGTTTAGAAAGAAATCCAAATTAATCCAACAAGGTAACAAGGAGGAGAAAGTGCGAGAAGGTGCCAGGACATTTTTAAATATGCAAGGGTTATCCTGATGACGCTGATTGAAAATGAGATATTTCCACATGGGAATAGAATTAGTTGAAATACAATAGACAAGTATATCAATATAGAAAGTAATCTACCAACCTGCGGTAGACATAAGAAGCTACCAAAGGTACTCGAGCAATCAAATTCAGTGAATCTTCATATGTTGGTTCCCAGTACCTAAAAATGAATAGTTTTCAGTACTAGAGTAATAGGAAGCGTGAATCTTGAATGCATAAACTTACTTTGATTTATGAATTCCTTTCTCATAGGCCTTCTGGAATTCACTCTGAACCTGAAATGAAGTACAAGTAGACACCTTAAAGGACATCTAAAAACAATATGCCTAGATAATTACATAACTACTAGAATTGAAATAGTTACGTTTCCAACAAACTAAAACTCAGCAGTGCAGGGTTGATAAAATTGAAGCAAAGCATAAGACAATGGGTTTTGATCAAAATAAACAAATTTAAAATATTTAAGGAATATAATATAAAATCAAAATGATCATATTATCTCATGCAGAACACTTTCTCGTAAAGTTGAGCAAGAAAACCAAAATCACTTCATCTAGGATGTGATAAATAGAGAACTTCATTACTAACCTGAAGACCCATGACACCTGTCGCAAACTGAGTCATCGGATGAGATGTAACAGGAAGAACATCAATGGCCTTGTATACATAATCTGCAACCAGGAATGATAAAAACCCACCATTTAGGAAAATGTCTTCGTTGGAGGGGAACAGACAGCCACTGGTTGTCCTAAATTAACCATATATGCTTGTCCAACTAACATGATGGATCTCATATACAACTTACAAGGTTCCAGGTGGAAAATGAAAAACTGGCAATATCTTAATATACTTGTCTAGTAAAAAATGCTGATAAACAAAACAATTAGACAATCTGATTTTTATTATCTTGTCAACACCATCAAGTTCTGAACAATTTAATACAGAAGCAAGATGAACCTGGAACAATGGCTCGACTTTGTAACTCCTTGGATAATGCATCTACTTGCTCTTTGTTTGGCACCTGATATATGAAAGAATAAATGATGAAATATTTGTCAGTATAAGCAAAATCTTGCTTACAAGAAGTACTTTATTCTATCAGCTACATGTCTTTACAACACTGATATAAATTCCTATGAGGCAAATGTATACAACAACACAAGCTTTTTGAGCAACTCACCTTTCCTGTGAGAAGAAGCCACAGAAGGCCCTCAGGTAATGGTTCTCCATCAGGCTTCGCAGCTGGTAGCAATTTTTGACATTCAGGAATTGACAAACCCCTAAAGCGAATACCCTATAAAAATAATACTTCAAATCCATTACTTTATCAATACCAGAATTCATCCAATTCAAATAGACCAGAGATGACCATTTATATCGAGCACAGAAACATTATGAACAGACATTCAGGACCAGATCACCTCACTAGGTATTAACCAAAAGGATTGCATACCTCATCGGGATCAAGTAAAGATGTTTCCCACAGTAGCCCCGTCATTCCTCTCATTCCACCAAGTACCTTCACAATGTTAAAAACAAGGCATTTAATTAAAAGATTTGAAGAAAATGCTTGCAGAAATGTTAGTTAGTTTAAGAACTCCCGGGAAAGATTTGGTTGCATGGATCATGAGATAATAAACTTTGCCACTGATACTGGAGAGCAGAAAAATAGAGACTAGTCATGTAAATATACTTGCCATATCAACAGTGATGTTGCCCAGTTGAACCTTTCCATGTTCTGCTTTGAATTTCTTCAGGCGATCCTATAATTATTAAAAATATTAAGAATATATATAAATGAACAATAATATTTTCCTGGAAAGTTCGATCAGGCTTGGCATTAAATGCATTGAATCAATTAGTCACACTGTTCTATACTTACAGTAACTTTCGACCAAACTAGAGATAAGGAAAACAACATCAGTAATGGTCTGATGAATTTTTGTTAAAACAGGCATCCTATTTCAGTGAATTCGTCATAAATCAACTGAGACTTCAACGTAAAACTTAAAAGAATAAGAATTGAAGCACTTGGCCTTCACATTTATCTTGGGGGTGCACAAATGATACTGTTAGGATAAACAAACCTGCTGCTCTGGAATCAATTCCCTCAAATGAGATTGTAGGTCCTGCATGACAGATATAACTTCATAAGCGAAATCACTCATTGGATTGAAATAATTATTCAATTTGCCAGTTAACTAACTACACCGTGCATCAGGATATCTCCAAACAGTTAACTAGTTATTGAAGTAGTCAGAGTAACAAATATTGTATTTGATTTGTTGGATGCAGGCAAACCGATTGCATTGCAACAGAAAATATGTCATCAACAATTGAAAACATGCACGGAGACTTAATGGCTACACTTATCGACTCCGGAAATCTGGGAATTGCAGCCGTTACAGTCTGATTTAAGCAATTCATAACTGTAAGATCTATCTTAAAGTTAAGTCTCAAGACTTAAAACGTGGTCTAACCAATAAAGGTTCACGGGAATTTATTAACGTTAGTATAGAGTATTACAAGATCGGATGAGCTCTGCATTTGAAGCCATCTAACGGAGTTTCTCAGATTAGACTGCTGTCCCTGAAACATCCCAGATATTTACAGACTGTTAAAGGCTTTACCAACAAAATAACTAACAATTACCAAAAACAGGGAAGAACTCAAAACAATATACTCACAACACGCGACCGTAGCTTGGAAAGAGCCGTCAAACTCCTGAAGAACGCCATGACTCTCAAAATTCCCTACCTGCATAATGCATATAACAAAACTTGCTAAATACAAAGATCACAGACCTTGATAAAACAGCAATAACAAGCAAAATACTGTATATACACAGTGGTAAACGATAAAACAAGAAAATCAGAAGGGAAATCCAGCAAGATACGAATATAGAAGATGAACGACAAGCCTTGCACTTTTTATCATCTAAAAGGGAAAGCGAAGGAAGAAATCAAACAGGAATCAACTGCAGTGAAATGGAACGTACAGGGAAGTCAGAGCAGCGAGAGAAAGCTGCGACGCTGCACGCAGATCGATCTGTATCAATGATGATTCCGAAACTGAAAACTGAGGAGCCTTCACGATTCTTTATTCCCAGAGGAAATCAAATGAGAAATAAAGAAATGAAAATTCTTTTATTGCTTTTAACTTGTACGTTCGCTTGCAGTGGTTGAAGATACCGTGAAAGCATACCGAAAATACCCTTGACATCTGGCGGCGAAATGAGAATGATTACAAAAGTCCGTTAAAGATAGGGGCAAAACCGTTAATTGAGCTAAATATGAGGGGTATAGCAGGAATGTAAAATAAAAAAGCGCTATATTCAACGCCCGGCCGCGAGTTGGCGGCGACTCTTTGGAGATCTCAAATTTGGTATTAACTCTTGTTGTCTGACCAAAACACGCTCTCATTTTCAGGCCTCTCTAATATTTTCTCAATTTAATTTATAATTTTTTAATATTATAAATTTAGTTTTCTTTTTAACTTAGATATTTTTTAAAATATATAATCTTCAAAAAAATTCAAATATTTATCTAATACAATAAAATAAATTTATTTCAAGAATTATTGATTATAAAATTTAAAGTATAAAACAATGCCAAACCTTAATAAGTCATATTTTTTAAAAAAATAAAATATAATTTATACATCAAACACGCTAACAAAAACTTGTTGGTAAATTAATAAATAAATAAGTCACTTGTTTTTAATTCATGAATATTTGACTTAATAAAAATAAAATATTTAGTAATAATTAAATTTATAAAATTAATGAACAATAAAGTTGTTAGAATTAATTAAAAAAACTAAAATTATTTATTTATATAAATTCTAATAACGACAAAACAACGCAAAAAAACATACAGATTGAGAATTCGCAGAGATGTAAAAAAGAAAAGGTGAGGAAAGAGAGATAATTGATGTATGTGTGAAGCCGACTGCAAGTCAAAACCACCGAACTTCATATTCACCGAATTGGATAATCCAAGAAGCAAAAATATCTGACCCTTCACTTCGCCGAAAAGCCGAAAGAATCGAGCAGGAATGTGCGGTTGATCAGGTCGGATTCCGTCTCCTTCTCAGGCTCTGTTTGCGGAGCTTCCGGATTCAATTGAATCATCATCGTCTTCTTCAACCTCGTTAATCGGAAGAATACTGTTATCGGTTTCATTTTCCTGCTTTATTGGCTATTCTATTCGTTTTCATTTCAAACGAAGTCGTTGTGATGATGGCTTTGGCGACGAAGATGAGAAGAAATGCATGCATCGTCACCAATTGTCTTGTGGCGTCTGGAAAATTTAATTTCCTATCGGTTTGTGCTTTCCGTTTCCATTAATTCGCTGCCTCGTGTTTTTGTGTCTGATAAATTAGTTTTTGGATACTGAAATTTTGATGATAATCGTGATTCGTTTCTGTGTTAGGCGATTTGAATATCTAGAATTTGCCTCGATTATTCCGCTTCTCTTGTGACGTCTCTTTTAATTTCGGTTCTTTGTTTTCCCCTCTTTTTAAATATTTTTGTAGTGGATTGTGTTTCGGGAATAACGACATATTATTACCGTTGAAATTTAGAGGTTTAAAATTTTATGAGCATTGCATATGCAACATTAGAAATCTCGTTGAGATCTCCTCATTATCTTTCATTGTTTGTAGTCATTTGAATTTTGAGTACTGCTATATGGAGTTTTTATATATGTCTCTTATTTAAAATAGGTGGGCTCTGAAAATGCATCTTACTCCATGATCAGAAAAGTTAATGGTTTTACAACATTCGGGGAACAACTGGATGCTTCGAGAATGTATGCTACGTCTTGTGCTAAGTTGTCGGATGAAATCCAGAAAGAAACCTCCAACTCTGATATGTTGGTTGATTCATTTGGGAGGATGCACACTTACTTAAGGATATCATTGACAGAACGTTGCAACTTGAGATGTCAGTACTGTATGCCTGCGGAAGGTGTAGACCTGACTTCCAGCCCCAAACTTCTTACTCGAAACGAAATTATTCGATTGGCTAATCTTTTTGTAAGCTCTGGTGTAAATAAAATTCGCTTGACTGGTGGGGAGCCTACCATTAGGAAAGATATTGAGGATATATGTTTAGAGCTGTCCAATTTAAAAGGTTTGAAGACACTGGCTATGACCACGAATGGAATTGTCCTTGCCAGAAAACTTCCGATGCTGAAAGAATGTGGGCTTACTGCTATTAATATTAGTTTGGATACTTTGGTTCCAGCAAAGTTTGAATTCATGACCCGACGCAAGGGGCATGAAAAGGTCATGGAATCTATCAATGCTGCGATAGACCTTGGTTACAATCCTGTTAAAGTATGTATTATACCTTGGTAGAAGAAAACTATCCCTTTTGAACTGTTGTCACTTTTCTCATTTTCCTATTTCTCTATCAACTCTTCGTTGTCTTTGGCAGTCTTTGGCAATTCATTTTCTGGTTGATTCTTGGTATACAGACATAGAATGTTATTATTCATTTATCATACCTGGCACATATTCTTACAAGGATTTTTCTTTTACTCTATTATTCTCAGGTGAATTGTGTTATAATGCGTGGTTTCAATGATGATGAAATCTGCAATTTTGTTGAGCTGACTCGTAATAAACCAATTAATATTCGGTTCATTGAGTTTATGCCCTTTGATGGAAATGTTTGGAATGTAAAGAAACTGGTACCCTACTCAGAAATTTTGCAAACAGTGGTAAGGTAGAATCCTTACAGGCAATCAATCTAAAAGATTTTAGATTTTCGCTAGGGGTCTTTCTATATGCTAATTCCTTATATTTTGCTGGACAGGATAAGCACTTTACAGGCCTGACACGACTTGGGGATCATCCCACAGAGACAGCGAAGAACTTCAGAATAGATGGGCACCTGGGTACAGTTTCTTTTATTACGTCAATGACTGAGCATTTTTGTGCTGGTTGCAATAGATTGCGACTTTTAGCAGATGGAAACTTTAAAGTCTGCTTATTTGGTCCGTCAGAGGTAAATCTTCTTCTAGTCTATTGTTGCATTCATCTTAGAATGAGAGTATGGAACCATAGCCTCCACCCCCTCCCTCCATATGTTCAGCTAACCTTGTTTTCAACAATGTGTTGTGCACAGTTGAATTTAATGGACTTTACTTTTAGATTTATTTCTTACTTAAAATGTGCCATTTGCTGCTTGACCTTCATTTGTGTAGATTTTCGCATGGATCAAGTTATTATGTGGTAGACTGGTAGGCATAGATTAGTGCAAGTATAAAAGTTCTAATCCTCCCATTAATTTATTAGGGGTTATTAATTTCAGGTTAGCTTGAGAGACCCACTTCGTCATGGTGCTGATGATAATGGGCTTAGGGAAATAATTGGTGCAGCGGTACTTCAATTTTATTTTCTCAAGATGCCTTAAACTTCTTATTCCTAACAGTTATTTGATTCGAAGCATCAACTTATATACATATTTCCATATTTCCGAATACGCCTTTATTTGGGTACTGCACGTAATTTTACTCCTGTATCTCAGGTAAGAAGAAAGAAATCTTCACATGCTGGAATGTTTGACATTGCAAAGACTGCAAATAGACCTATGATACACATTGGTGGCTAATCTAAACTTGGTAATTCCTTTGCCAATGCATCTCTCCCTTTCCAAACATGCCATAAAGATAAACGCACATCTCTTGCAAACCTAAACTGTTCAATCTTCTTTGTTAAGGATTCTAGATGTGTCTGTTTCAGGTCCCATTTCTGTCCAACTAGCTTGACTAGAATAGAGCCCTGTTGGTATACATGGATACCGTCGAGATTGAAGTCAAAACTGTAGTGCTAATATAAAGAAGCCTGGTAAGTGAAAAACCATAAAAAGGCATACACTGCACTAGTTAGTACTGTAAAAGATATGTCTGGCTGATTCATGTACAACTTTGGTCGGTAACATTATGATGCCAGTTGTAATTTAAATGCTAATATAGAGTGGTTAGTGTTGTTTATTTTGCATCATAACTTTAGAAGACCTCGCTCATCAAATCAAATAGAAAACCATGCATTTAGGTAACCTCACGTTTATACATCAGAATAGTTCATCCTTTTGTGCATCCTATACAATTCAATATGTTTGCATATATTGTTTTTTATTGGTTAAATTGCTCGGGTCTACTGCATTTAATTGTTGAATTTTAATCATACAAGTAGGCGATTTGAGTTGTCTCTTTACTTCTATATGCATAATTGTTATTTCATTTGATGGTTGAAAGTCTTGGACCAATTTAAAATGACTTTTTAAGAGCTTTAACGTGTGTGTATTATACATGTATACGTGTGTTACTGTTGTCGTCGTAGTTTTATTTATTTTTTTTTTACTTTGAAATACCTTTTAAGCTCTTAGAAGACATTCCCTTCAAATTAGTTTCATTTGAGGATGGTTGAATTTGTGGTAAATTCGAAATTATCAAACATGGTTAGGAACTTCAAACATTTAACACACTTTAAAAATGGAACAAATATGCATAATTATTCACAAAATTTAAAGAATGGAACACCAAATGACAAACAATAGAAGAAACCCATCGGCCAGCTTCATTTAAGAACTGCCTTCATCGAACATTGTTCCACATTCCCACGACTTTCGTCTGGGTCGCCGGCGCCAGAGGGGAAATCGGAGAGAGCTGCCATAATCCGACGGATACTCAGAGATCGGACCTGTCTGAAACTAAGAGACCTCTTCGTGTTCTTAGAGAAGACATGGGAAGATTTAGAGAGAATTAGATAAACCAGAATCTGCACAAGGAGGAACACGGCTGCAGTCTCAGCCATTCCTTCCAAATGCCTAATCTCCATCATCATCAGAGATTAGAAGTGAAAAGTATCAGAAATCGAAGGCGAAAGCAATGGAGTGAACTGGAATGACATGGGAAGAAGAAGAAGAAGGCGTATATAAACTAATTCGGTGAATTAGGAATTGGAAAAGCGTGGAGGTTTTGTTTATTTAAGAACTTGAAACTTACTTTGACTTGCTGCTTAAGCTAGAGTGTAGGATAGGCGGGTGGAGCCGTGGAAGTTTCGACCTCTTTGTAGCTCTCTGTACCTTTTTTGTGTCCATATTGAAGTTTCAACCAATTTCCTCCAAATTTGCTTGAAATGATTCTGAAACTTCTTTAAAAATTCAAAATTAGGATTCCATTTCATAGGTAAAGTCTAATCTAATAATCCAATTAACCTTGTTCATCACTCTCGAGGTGAACACGACTCCCTTTCTCGAGTCTTAACCTCCCAAGACCATGTCCTCAAGGCTTGAGGTCAAGTTCTAGTTGACATTAGTATTATTAATAATGTCAGGTTCTATAGAAGATAGAACAAACAATTTTCAACTCATCTTTCTTCCGGACTCTAATTCTTTCTCTTTGATGCTACTAGTGCAAGAGGCGAAAGGCGAACTCCTGAGTTTTTGATCTATTAAATGAGTTCTTAGAGATAAGGTTAGAAAGTAGGAGTCGAATAAAGAAAAACCTTTTGATAGCATAAATCAAACATTAAATTGATCGAATAATTGAATAATCGAAAATTAACGTCAAGGGTATTTTGATAGGTATTTAAGTACTATTAAACATGGTTAGAATCAAAAGCTAAAAAATCAATTTTTTTTAAAATCTTGAAAGTGAAAGCTTGTAATTTAATGGGCAAGTTTGAAGCAATATTGTGGGCTGTTAAAAGAATTTGTAAGATCTTACAGGCACTTTTAGTAATATATTAGCGATAAGAAAAGACTTTCCTAGTTTAAAAGTTTCACCACTTCATCTCCCTCTGCCATCTTTTTCTGAAAGATTCCGATTAAAAAGGTGAGAGAGAGAGAGAGAGAGAGAGGAAGAGGAGGATGAAAGTGACTTTGAGTGGACGTACCAAAGTCAGGATTTGGTTGCTTCTTTCCCAATGCAATGTCTATGTGGAACGGCGTCACCCCTTTTACCCTCTCTTCACCACCCCCCACCCCACATCGCATATTCCTTCGCACATTACACAAATGGTGGGCGGGTCCAAGTTTGAAGTTGAAGCCAGACCCTCAACAGTTGACGCTTCCAAGCAAACTGGGATTTTGTTTTTCTCTACCAACTAAGTATTCCTCATGGAATAATAATATTCACCCTCAATTCATGTAAAAACCTTCCCCACCACTCTCGGGAATTCGATCACATTTTATTCATTCACATAGGTGAAAACTTGCCACTTGTATGGCGACACCAGATTTTCTCTCTAAGCCAAGTTGCTTGACGAGACCCAAGAGGCAAACCATTTTGCTTTTGATTTGGAGGGAAACCCAAGTACTACGGGTTGGGGCAGGCAAAAACATTGACCTGTGAACCTGCCCAAAAAGTTAGGCGAAGACCTATGCACCTACCGTCAAAATACTACTTTCCAAGCCGAATCATACTAAATATCTACGGAATACGTGGCTAAATCAGTCAAAACGTAGGTTAAAAGCTATCTTATGAATAGAAGAAAAGAAAAAAAAAACGACAAAATCTGAGGTAAATGAAGCAAAGAGTGACTACCTAACTAAAATTACAATATGAGTTACCAGACGTATTTAATGGGTATATACTTAAAATACAAAGCAAATGACCAGATCACTCATGAATATAAGGAAAAAATCATTGTACTTTGAGACTCGTTCTATTTTAATCATTATACTTTTCCATAAGTAATAATTAGTGTACGTACGTCAATCTTATTTCTATCAATGAAGATGAAGACTAATTTTAAGATTTATTACACGAACAAGTTCAAAAGGATCAAAATAGTATTCAAAGTGGTGAGCTTTATAATAGATATGGATATAGATGTATATTCATTAACTCAAACCATGACTGAAACAGAGAATTGGGGAAGAAGGGAGAGGAAAACATTGGCAGCTGATAACACTGTAAATAAGGTTCAACTCTTATTATGCAGAGACATTGTTACCAAAGATGAACAAGAAGAAGAAGCAGAGTCCTTCTTTGTAGCAATTTACACTTCCAATCAATCACCTACTTGTGGTACCTCTCTAAGATTCCTCTAACAACCATATCCTATTACATTACCTGCAGTCATAAATAAATGACACTACAAATAAGTAAACAGAACACAAAGAATGCGGTTTCTTCATATTTAAGGTGGTTTTTTAGAACTTGAGGACAGAACAGATCCTGTTCTTCAAGTAAGCTTGTCATATTTGAGGTTGTTTTTCAGACAGTAGAACCAGGAATCTTACTCTAGCAGTTCACAGGAGCTCAGTAGTTGCATAAAAACATGACACGAAAGACGTTATGCAAGGTAAAGAACGACAAACATTTTCGTTTTCAAAAAGAATAACAAGTATTTGATCTTTCAGACATGATTTGGAGATGTGTTAAGCCAGTACACAATTACTGCAATGCTAAGTTTTGTACATTAAGGTTATCCAGACAGATTAGGCTAGAGCCAGAAGGACTATATAGTTAAGATAAGCCAGAAATATGCTATGATAGTACAGTCAAGCCTATGATCATCAAATATAAAGAAGGCATGCCAGAAATATTCTACAAAGTTAAAGCACACCGATCTTGCAACTCAAGTCCACCGCTAGCATATATTGTTCTTTTTGGGCTTTCCCTTTCAGGCTTCCCCTCAAGGTTTTGAAAACACGTCTGTTAGGGAGAGGTTTACACATCCTTATAAATAATGTTTCGTTCTCCTCCCCAACCGATATGGGATCTTACAATCCACCCCTTTTTGGGGCCCAGCATCCTCGCTAACAATTGTTTTCCTCTCCCATCGAGGTGGGATCTCACAACATATTTCCTCCATATTTTGTTTGATTTCTGGATTGAAAAGATGTTTTATTGTCTCGTGCATCTAAGATTTTTCATCCAGCTCAAAAAACCTGGTCTTAAGTGCTCAAAACCCCTTTTTCTAGCATTAAAACCCCATTTTTAGGCACTTGGAAAGTCACTCTAGATGGGCTCTAAATCTTCTCATTCTGGAAATGTTCATCACGGGCTTTGTTAAATGGTTTCAAATTTGCATCTTTTTGCATCATCGCCGCCTATCAGCCAAAGAGTCATCATTAGGAACTAAGAGCTGAAAGCTTGGATCAAGCTTCAATCCTTATCTATGACCAAGATGCTCTAAATGGATGTTTCAAGTAACAAGCCCAATAACAGATATCATAAATCCTGAAAAGAGTATCAAACCTGCCAGTCAATAAGTTCTAAAGCTCTAAGAACTCAACTCAATCACAAGCCACTCTATCGGTTCTTAATTTAAATCAAATATAAGCTCTGTTCATTCCAAATTCAGTATAGAAATCCCCCACATCAACATGAACTACAAAAACATGAAGAATAACTAAAGAACAGCAGTAAAAAGGAAGAACACAAACCTCAAATTTGCAGAAACAAAACTCGAAGGAGAAACTCCAATATCCTAAGCTAAGGTGCCAGCATCCTCATTTATTGGTCCATCCATTAGCACAAACCCATTTTCATCACCACTGCTATTGACAATTACAATCCCATCATCAGTAGCCACACTAGAAACAGTCTCAACACTGTCAGTCTGTTCCCCATTTCCCATCACAGCAACCCCCAACTGAGTGGGAGATTGAGACGGATCCACTTGAACTCCTTCACTAAAAATAGAGCTATGCCTTCTAGCCATATGTTCAAGAGTAGTCCTCAACCCATAACTATCTTCTTGAGGCATCAGGTCCCTAGCCCTCAACAAGGCCATAGTTGCCCCCCTACATCTCACATGATCCGAAGGTTCATCAGAAGGAAGCTTATAGCGGCAAAGAGGGCACGAATCATGATTAGAAAGCCATGGAAGAATGCAATCAGGATGGTAAAGATGAGAACAGGGGAGCTGTTTGGCTTCGACATCAAGAAGGAACTTATCCTTGCAAATAGCACAAATTAGAATTGGGTCTTCCTCGAGCATGGCGGAGGAGACTTTAATCGTGGGAATCGCCATGACAGAGGCTTTGATCGGAGTAAATGGGTTGAAGGGTACAGATGGGGCAAAATCGGAATCGGATGAATCCGCGAGCTGCTGGAAAAGGCGGAGGAATTGGGGGCTGCTGAGGAGGTAATTGTCATCGGAGGTGGTCGGAAGAGGGTCGACGATGACGAAGGATGACGGATCGGAATCTGGAGGGGAAGAAGAGGAAATGGGATGGTCGGAAATTGAAGAAGAAGAAGTGGGTATGGTGAAATCCATGTGTTCAAGGAAGTCAGTGAGGCAGTGAGGGCAAAGGAGAGAGGAAGAAGAAGAAGAAGAAGACGAAGAAGACGAAGAAGACGAAGAAGGAGATACCAAAGTGACGCTCATATCGCACTCGTGGCACCAGTAGGTGTGCCGTTCGGCGGCGGCGGCGGTGGCGGCGGAGGCGGAGGACATGGTTTTTACCACACCTGAAGTGACGTACCGCTGAATTTTGGCGTTCCAATCGATCCCGCCCCTAAAAATTGGGTAAAGATAAGAGAGATTTTGGAAATTTGGGTGTGATTTTGAAATTGGGTTTTAGCGCAGTGGTTGTGGTTAGTGGCAGGGCCGCCCCTGTGGGTCCGTCCGCCATTCCCCTTCACTTTATTTGGTAGATTGTAGCTTTCCTCAAATTTTGTTCTCCCCGCCATCGTTCGAATCTCGCAACCCACCATTCTCATTTTCTTTTTCTCCCATCTTTATCCAACACCCCAATGACATGTACGGAAAACATCAACTATAATAAATTAAACATATCTATTCTTCGTCATTAAGATTTTGATATTAGCTTTTAATTCATGCATATAAAAATTGAAATAAATATATATATTTTTATGGGATATTTGGATAATTAGGATTCAAACCATTAACCCTCCCAACATGCTTTAATTACCGTTCAACCACTGTAATTAATGTTTTCAATGGCTTCAACTTCATAAATGACATTTGGAGCTTCCTCTTAATTGTTTCAATTCCAACTAATTTCTTTTACCAATTACATCTAATCTTTAACGGTTCCGGATTAGAAAAAATGTTACGTTATTCTCTATATATATCATTATAATTTCGTGTGTGATAATTTCAGTCTCTAAATTTGGTTATTTTTTGAGATTTAACCTAACTAGATTTTGATATTAACACTTTCAACTAAGAATCGATAGGTATGAATCTCGATTTTCACACACTGAACTAAAAAACCCCTAAAAAATCTTTCAACGTGGTATAACCAAGTGTTTTTTTTTAAGCCGATTACATGTAGAAATGGAGAATTCAAACATTAATCTCGTTAGTTTTAACTAGTAAAGTGATGCTCAAGTTAACAGTAGGTTTATACCATATTGTCACATTTTATGTATATCTTATGTCCAAGATTCGAATAAAGATTTGGAATCTAGTTCTGGTACTTGATGGCATGGGGCATTACAAAATCATATAAGGGCTTTCCTAGTAGAATATGGTTCGGGGATGAACTAAGGCAGAAGCTAGCGAGCACATGATATCTAAGTAAATGAGGGGTACATGAATAAATTGATACCACATCCAAAGGAGAGCAATCGTTAGAAAGGCTAAAAAGAATTAAGGTTATTATATCAATAAGTTGTACCTTATTTTTCAATAATTCTGGTGGATGATGAAAGTCCCACGTCGACTAATTTAGAGAATGATCATGAGTTTATAATGAAAAAAATACTATCTTCATTGGTATGAGATCTTTTGAAGAACCCCAAAGCAAAACCATGAGAGCTTATGCTCAAAGTGGACAATATCATATCATTGTGGAGAGTTGTGTTCGTCTAACATGGTATCAAAGTCATGTCCTAAAAAAAAAAAAAAGAGTCGAGACGACGAAATTCTAACAAATTAAATCATAAAAAGGTAATTTCTGAAATATTTTTTTTTTTACTTTATATAAGGAAAAAAAAAAAAAAACTAATTACATGAACAGTTAACATAAACAAATATTATGCTGACAAGATCCGACACATCCCTACTAAACTCTTGGTCTTAAAAAAACAGAATCCCAAGAGAACTAACAATACTTTCATGCTGACTAGACAATATGAAATTCCTCGTATCCAGAGAATCTTGTTCAACGACAAGGGATGACAGATCGGACTTTCCAATACACTGTCCGATCACCGGCTCAACATAGGAAACCACCGTTCTTGGAAGTAAGATTGGTAAGAGATCATGAAAAGAAGAATAACCAACATAAACCCGACCCCCCACGGCGTCCCTCCTGCACGGTGGAGCGAGTCCTTTTCCGGTAAGGGGACGAGGGGCGGTAGGCGGCCGTTTTCACCATTGGAGAGCCAGTGGACAAGGAGGAGGAGGAGGAGTGGCGAGATGATGAGAAGGAGCTTGAGCTGATCGAAAACGCCTTCGACAGCCGACTCGTAAGTCGAGTACCAAGAGAAGGCCAAGAACATGAAGAGGATGAGAAAGAAGAAGCAGAGATGAAGGGGAAAAGTGGGTTGAGAGTCGGAATTTGTGGTGGAGGAGTCTCCGTTGACAGCCATGGCCGACGACTTAGAGAGCTTACGATGGATTTAGGAAGAAATTGTGTTTGTTTTGGTGGGTGTGGTGTGAAAATTTATGTGGCTACGAGGCTTTATAATACTCGGGAGAACTTGGGATTCCTTACTTTTATCTCCATGTAGCAATCATGCTTGTTCAAGCGACATCGTTACGAATCTCGAGCTATCTATGTGACGAACTATTAAAATATTTTTATCAAACTTTTTTAATATAAAATTCAAAGAAAAAAACAATAAATAATGCATTTTAGACATTAAAATTGAAAAAATTAAACGAGATAATTCCAAAGGATGTGGTGGCTTTGTATGGTCCAGATTCGAGTCAGAAACTAGTAGCCAATAAAAACCCGCCACGTACGACCGACCATGAAGCGACCTAGGCAATCCCGTTTTTACATGTCATTAAAAAAGTAATTATTAAAAAGCAAAAAGTCAGAGCAAAATTGAAAGCCAAAAAAGGAGATGGCAGGTGGAAAACACGATGGCCACGTCATTTTATCACTTACTTTTTTGGGGAAAAAACATTTTAAATTATGTGATTGGAGTAATCCATTAGAACATTGACACGTGTCTTTTGAGAAAAAATTAATGGCGTTAATTAAATTATGACCCATGACGAAGCTGTGTGTGTAGAATATTCTTTTTAATAATAGTAATTTAATTACTTTTTTAATTACATCCATAAAAAATTAAGTCTTTTTTCCTTACTGTTTTTGTATGGGTTTAAAGCCAACTTTAGCAGCTAAAGTCCAACTTTTAAATATTTTTTTTTTAGATTTTCATTTAATTTAATTCTTAAACTTCAAAATAATATTTATTATCATGTATAATAAAAATGTAAATTTTATTTTAAAAAATGTCGAATTGTCTAAGCTTTAATAAATGTTCCTTTATTTCGTTTTCCTTTCTCTTCTATTCTCTTCGGTCTCATTCAATCTCGACTGGACATTTCACCTTTATTTCCACACTTTTATTTATTTATATATATTTTTTTAATGTTGTCTAGACAACGAAAACAAGAACACAACAAGCGCTGACCTATTGGAGTCATGTGTTGTGTTGGGATTCCCTCATAAAGTTGCTTCACTTCTAACACCAAAATATAAATAAATAATAAAAAAGTAAAACTTAATGCATAAGAATATGAGATTTCTTAAAAAAAAATCAAAATTCATTTTTTTAAACATGGAATTTATGGTAAAAATATTTTAATTTTTTTTTTTAATTTAAAGTGTTTTTCAAGGTTTTTAGAAAGTAAAAGCATATTAATAAAAAAATTTAAAATTCGAGAGTATTTTTTTTTTAAACACGGTTGAAAGTTAAAAGATGATTTTTGAAATATCCAAAGTTTTAAAATATATTTTTAAATTTTTTAAGTTTAAATGTATTTTTAATCTTTTTAAAAAGTTTTAAAATATTATTGAAAGTTTTAAAAAATTAGAAATGTTTTTTTAGAGAAAAAAAAATATAGTATTTTATTAATGAAGCCTAAAATATAAAAATACTTGCTTTTGACTCAACCGTAAGAAATTCAAAATTGAAGTTTAATCTTCAATGAAGTGGATTGGGAACGGGCCCAGAATTGTCTAATGGGCCATGCGGAGCGGATGCTATGAAATTGGGCTCTGTTACGACTACGAGATAACAATTGGGCTTTTTAGATAGAAACATTTTGGGCTTCATGTAGTGATAATATGGGCCTTTCTTTGTTGTGAATTGGCCCAAAATTGCATCCTAACCCATGCGCGCTCCCCCCTCCGGTTGGGCGGAGAGCAGCACGAACCTCATTGAGCACAGGCTTGGAACGTTGTAGCGTTGCCTCCCAACCCATGCTTGCACGAACCTCACTAATACTCTTACCAATCGAGAAGAGATTATATGACACTCTGCATAGGAGACTACTTAAAATATTTTTATTTCTAACCTCTTTTTTATATATAAATAATTTAAACATAAATAAGTTAGGTTTAAAATCTATATGTGATATATAAAGAGAACTGGAACAATAAACTTTATACAATACATATAAACATTGTATATTATATAGTTTCATATACAATCATTAAGAAATAATGTCTTTCTCTTCATTGTGAATTAGGGGAAACTCTTTTTTCTAGTTGCCTTCTTCATTAGCTGGTGTTGATCACTACCACCTTTGATCAAATTTCTCAAAAATTTTCCGACCACTTTTTTCAGCTTCACTCCTTGTAGTCCATCTTCATGTTGTTTCTTCACAATTTGAAGACCGTTGATCTCTTCCTCACTAAAGTGTTTCCCGAGCGAGTTCCTATCTCGGTTCCTCTCGTCCGACCCTATTTCTGTTTTCCCTTCCCCATTGATGAGTTGTTTTAAGCTTTTATGATCGTTGTTCTCGAACCCTTTCGTGCCAAACTTCTCGTATTGATCGTCATTGTTCAATGTGCCGGTTTGAATCTCATCTTGGATTTTGGCTGGCTTTCTTGTTCTCTTTGACATGGAGATGTCATAATGGCGTTTATGAGACATGCTCTCACTCTCCCATATGCGTAACAAATGAAATATATATATATATATATATCAAAGGTTCAATGAGATTGCTTAGCAAACAATGAAGGTGGTGGTTTTTAAAGGCATTTCAAAAAGGTGTAGAGTCCTTTTTGTTTAGATTGTTTGTTGTTTACAAAGAAAAATGGTCACAAATCAGGTGCATTATGGGTTGGTATAATTTTTATTAAGTATTACCAAACATCTTTTCATTCAAATGAAAGAGTAATGATGTTGCCTTTTGCTTGGTTCAGGAGGGTTGTGCTTAATTTCTTCTTTAATTGGGTTTCTTAGATATCTTGTTGTGCTTTATTGGCTTGTAGGTTACGAAGGGTAAAAGTTAATTCATAACCAAGATGGATTAAATTTGAATTTTTACAAGTTTTGGTTTGTGTGTTCTAAAACGTTGAACGAACGAAGTTCATGACCAATACGATCACTTCATGTGATGGTGCGGGAGGTTTGTTTAGCGTCAGTTTTTGAGGAATATAAGTGTTTATATGACTCAATAACCTGACTACCTCCCTCCGACTATCCAACCAAAAACCATAAAAGTTAGGTTGAGTTAGATTTTTTTTCGAAATTCGAAAATAGGGTTACAATTCAACCCTGTTTTAGTTTTAAGATTATTGTGAAAATTAGGAATATCTAACGTTTGTAACCGAGGTAAGTGATGCAGTGCATGAGCTTTATAAGATTTTAATTATTAATGTCAGTGAATAAATACGATCTTTTTTAAATTAATTAAAAAATATAAAAACCCAAAAATCCAATTCAATCTATTTGAATTGGGTTGTGAATTATATTCGAGTTGATTCAAAAAAACTTCTCAACCCAATCTGTATGCACGCGTATTGAGAGAAGGAGAGACACTACACGATGAGTAGAAGTCGAAGCTTGTCTATAAAGAACCGATCTAATTATCTCATTTGTGCTAAGAATCGAAACAAGGATGCGTCGGTAGGTATGAACACGAAGAAAAAGGGGATATTTTTCAAATGTTGTGATAGGGGCCTATACTTTTTTGAATTTTGCAAAATGGGGCTCTAGATGTTATGTAATTATATACGAAGTCCTCCTTTGATGGTTTGGTGTGTGACAAGACATTATAGTCAGAGTAGAGTACAAGTAGTGTTCAATAATTGATTTGTACCATGTTTAAAATAACATTTTAAAAACAAATATGATTTTTTTTAATCTCTCCCACTTTTATCTCTGTGATTATGACTCTTCCTCGACTATGCCTTAGGTTTACTCATTCTATTTTTTTGTATCTGTCTTATCTAGACATCTTCCCTTGAAATATTTATAAGTTCTTAGGTCTCCTCGTCTTTGGTTTCTACCAATCTCTTTTATCATCATCACAAATCCTTGACCTAATTTGTAAGCTCTCAAGATGCGATCTGAGACCTCATATCAATTGGAGAGAGAAATGAAACATTCTGTATAAGAGTATGAAAACATAACACAAAAAAAAAAAAAAGACAATATTTACTAGTATTGTACTTGGCCTGTTACACCAATCTTGGTATTAGAGCCGTAAAAGTTATGCATTCTAAGTCAGACCAATTATCAAGAAAATAATTTTTTTAAAAAAAAGAACCCATAACCATAGGTGTTACCATAGATTCAACCAATTAGATTTTGTTATTAGAGAGCATTGGAAAATGGGTTTATATTTGAAAAATGAATTTATTATAAATTTATAAATAATAATAATAAATAAATAAAAGTGAAGCGATGGAGATACGTTTGTCTGTAGTGAAGGATGGGCATGAATCTCGGCAACCGGGCTCTGTTTCATCTCCTTTTCACTTTTCTACCTTCGTATATCTCTAGGTCAAGCTTCCTTCTCCTTCCGACACGTGTCCTTTTTCCTTTTTTTTTTTAATTAAAATTTTCACATTGGTTAAAATCAGGCCCTGTTCTTCTGCCTTCTACTTTCTTGAGCTTGCAAGAAACAAGAAATCCTCCTCCCATGGCGTCGTTGATATTAAATTGATTACAATGGCGTCTCTCACCCCCGGCGTTCTCTCAAAGCTCATCGAAAACGCCGGTAATAAGAACTCCAAAGTTACCGGCGAGCACCGGACGCCTCTTCTCCAAGTCCTCCAGATTCTCCCCTCTCTTCCCGGTTCCGGTGACGACGACGACCAAAATGACCCGTTTCGAACCAGAGGCTTCTTCTTGAAACTCTCCGATTCTCTCCATTCCGCTTACGCTTCCATTTCCGACGACGACTTGGATTTAATTTACAGCGATAAGATTCAGTTGGGTCAATTCGTTCATGTCTCCCGGTTCGACCCGGGCCGGTCTGGTTCTCGCGTTCCGATTCTTCGTGGGTTGAAGCCGGTTTCTAGAAGAAGACCTTGCGTTGGAAATCCCGTTGATTTGGTCTCCAGCGACTTGCTCCCGATTTCACGCGCCGCTGTGGGCGTTAATGGTTTCTCGAAACGTACGGTGGAGCCGAGGAGGAGGTTGAGTTTGGACTCGGCGCGGCGGGGATGGGACCGTGGGACTCCGCTGGCTTCTACAGCCGTAAAGGCCGCCGGTTCGCCACCGAGGAGGGGTTCTTCCGAGAAAGGGTCGGCCAAGGCATTAAAGTTTTCGCCGCTTAAAACTAAAGATGAGGGCTCATTGGTACGGAAGCCGACGAGTACAGTTATTAAACGCAAAGATGTTAAGTTAGCGGCCGTAAACCGCCCCATTCCGGTGGCGGTGGATTTGAAAAGTTGGTCGGAGAAGAGTATGGCGTGGAGGGCGCTGCCGTTGACGGTGGCCGTTGCTGGAAAGGTAATTTTTCATTGGCTGAACTCCCGCCCTAGTTCTTGAAATTTGGAAATTTTGAGTTTAAAAAACTTATATTAAAAAGAAAATAAATAAATAAATAAAATGTAACGGCGAGGGAATATTTGCAGAAAAGCGTTAGAAGTCGAAATCTTGCATTTATGAAGGCAGTTGATGCGTTGGAAGAAGCATCAGCCATTGAAGCCGTCCTCCACTGCATGTGGTACGCTTATTATTATTATTCCATTTCTATTTATTTATTTATTATTATTTTGCTATTTTTCATTTTTTTAAAATTATTTTTGTAGGGATTGAATTATAATTTTTTCATAGAAAATTTGAATTTCCGTATTAAAAAAAAACCACTTTTTTATATAATTTTTTAAAAATATATCAATTTCAAAGAAGTTTTTAATGAATAATTTTAATTAAAAAATATAAAATATTCTAATAAATTCAATACTATTTCCATATAACGTCAATCTAATTTTTTAAAACTAATTTTTAAGTCTGGTTTGTTTAAATTAATTGTTTTTATGGTCTATTTTTATATTTTTGTTACTGTAATTCTTTTTAGTTCATGAACTTTGAATCGCGCTCTATTAAAAATTTATTTTTTAAAATAATTATAATTTGATTTGGGTTTATTTATTAACTTTTAATAATTTTTATCTAAAATTGTATCTAATAATTATAAATTATTGATATATAAATTTTTTTAACAACTAGAATCCAACTCTAAAATAGAGGGTTGGGTTGGTTGTCTATCCAACCAACCCGAATTTTTGGGTTATCCAAAAAAATCTTTCAACTCAACTTAGAATATGTACACCAGTGTCATTCACATTCCTATATATGCACACCGATACATATATTTATATTTATATATATAAAATAAGCGGACGGCAATAAAGAATATAATTTTATTCGAAACCTCTAAAAAAGTATTTTTTTTTAAGTTAATTTTTGCTCTTTGTTTTTCCAGTTTATTTGCAGAACTATCGGAATCTTCCAAGCAAGTGTCTGGTGGGTCATTGGTAGAGCAATTTTTACAACTCTATGAGAGGATCCAACAAACACACGCATCCTTGAATTCCGTACTCAACAAAATGCCATCAGCTGATTCAAACTTGGTCAGCCATGGCCATAACAATATCAATGCCACTTCATGGATTCAGGCGGCCATTGCTACAAATCTTTCAAATTTCAATTTGTTCGAGACGAAAGACGATCTCGAAACACAAGTCCGAGATAGACAAGTCTACATTGTCATTGATAACGCGACAAAGAAACTCGATTTTGAAAACCATTCCCCTAAACTGACTTCCACGAATCGCAAAAACTATACACGTGATTCTACTGCTAAACTCTCGCATTCAAAAGAAGAGTTTCGTAGAGGGAATGGGTTAAAAAAGGCTGCTGAACTAGCCATGGAACTACTCTCGGTCTCGCGTCGATGGTTCGTGAAATACTTGGAGGATTTGCTTGAAAATAGTTTCGAGCAGAGATTAAGGGAAGGAGGTGTTGAGATTGCATGTCTTCTTAGGCAGCTTAAAAGGGTAAACGAATGGATGAATGAGTTGATTGAAAGCAAAGTTGAGATTGATCATAAAATTGAGCAATTGAGGAAGAAACTCTACAAGTTCCTTCTAGAGCATGCTCATATTGGCACTCGTTCAAGTCGGTAGAGATACAAGTTCAAGGATCGCTAACTTTTTTTGACATTTAGAGTAGAAATTTGACCTAAGATTGACTTTGTTCGTCCTTATCCTATAAGTATATCTTCAATCAGACTTTGTGTAGGTCATATTTCATTAAAAGTATTAAAAAAATTAAATGACTTGAGTACTCGATGAACTTAATTTAATTTGTACGGTTTGGGTTGAATTATGAATTTATTTTAGATGGGTTAGATTGAATGACAGCTTATAATTAATTTAAAAAAAATTACATTTTTACTTAGCATGCAATTATATATATCTATATTTATTTTATTTCACAACAATTTGGATGTATTTATAAGATAACTTTTCAATTTTAATTAATGTCCGAAAATAAACAAACCCATATTTTATTAAAATTTTACTTAAAATAAAAAACAAAAATTTGAATAAAATTTAATAATTCAATAAAATAAGCTTTATTTCAGCTCATTTTTTATATGGCAAATTCTTCCACACAAACATCCCTTCAAATAGTACAATATTGTTTGTAGCTAACACCATGAGATTCTCAGTGGGTCAACAAGTAGGTGGAAGCCGAATCCTTGTCGGAAGTTGGTGTCGTGGTTGACTTAGACGATGTCGTTTTGTTGGACGTTGAAGCAGTCTTGGTCAGAGACCTGAGTCCTCTACACGATTTCATGTGTGAATGCATCTTCTCCGGCCTGAAAGTCTTCCCACATAACCTGCATTTTTTTTAATATATAATAATATATTCAATGGGATTCCTGCCATTCTAAAAGAGACGACTCTTTAAAAACGGCTTGCTTCTTCAACTCTTCTAAGGCCATGTCTTTTAAAACCGTTGAAAGAACGACTTGACTTGTTCTTGGCGTTGACAAACCAAAAAACTCAACCCCATTTTCATAAAAGTCAAAACATGGTGGAGATATATATAGCTTATAATCATTAAATAAATTTTAAAAAAATGAAAGAGTAATAAATGTATAGAATATATTTGATTATAATAAAATGATTAAAAAAAGTTAAATGTAAGCTAAATATTCTCAACAGAAACTTACGAGCAGCTCGGTCCTGCTATTGGCTTGTAAGTTGGGGTGGCTGCCACCTTTCTGCCACTGCTCTCCTTCTGCCTCTTCTTCCTTGAATCGTCCAAGCTTTTCCTATATATATATATGACCAAAACGAATCGTTTAACTGTCCGGGATTAAATTATAAACTTTTAGATAATTTAGTGGGAAGTTTAGGAAATTACCGAAAACTTGGGTGGCTGTAATGGCGTCGGATTTGGAGGTTCCCATCCCAAGAATTTCGAGGAACTCGGGCGGAGCCACCAAACTCGTCGTCTCTGCAAAACACGGCGGCGTTTATGGATTTTTCCGATGGGTGGGGATTCGGTGAAGCTCTTGGAGATAGATTGTTGATCAAAACAGCGTCGTTTGCATCTACTTCCCTGCACGTGATCCACTGGCGAAGCATGTTGGAAGTGGAAGCTCCGCTTGAGTAGCTCTTGCTCTTTGTAAATGCAGGTTGGGTATTACCTATTCAGATTTTTAAATATATACACATTTTTTATTTAAAAATATATATAATTTTGGTTGTTGCTGTTTATTTAATCATATTCTTTTTTCAACTTATTATTCAAAAGAGAGAATGAGAAAGGGGCAGAATTTTTTAATTTATTGGAGCTTATTCATTTTACAATATAATTTTATTGAAAAAAATTGTAAAGAAAAATCTAATATAATATTCACATACAAAAATATACTATAATTGTTAAAAAATTAAATTTGAATATTAGTATTTCATATAAAAAAAATTATTGTTTTGATCCCAATTTCACCAATTTTGAATTTATTATAGAAATGATGACCAATTTATGCAAAAAGTTACTAAAATATAATTATAAAACAAAAATAAAAAATAAAATAATTGAATTATTATAATTTGTAATATATATATATATATATATATATATATAAAAGTGGGATGAAGTAGAAAATTGGACGAGAATAAGAACAAGAATACAATCTCGTCTTTATTTATCGGGAAAATCTCTTCTCATTCTCTCTCTCATTTCCGGTTTAAACGAACATTCATGTCTTACCCTATTCAAATGAATATTTCTAATACCTCGGAGATAAAGAGATGATGAACACGGATGAGATGGGGTTGCTCCACGTGTCCCATCCGACTAAGAAAGTAAATAATATCAACTCTTCTAACATCTCCGCCATTATCACACTCGAATTTAAATTATTTTTATTGGATACTTAAATAATGTTTTATCTTTTGAGTAAATCAAGGGTCCTACTCTTAGGCCCTATGACATTAAATCTAGACTAACACATCCTCTTATCCCCTTCCTTACAAGACAATTCACTTCCTTTTGATTATTAACTAATTAAACTAATTTTTTTTTTAAGATTAATATAAAATAATATACTACAAGATTAAAATAAGATTTAAAATGGTGATAATATTTTCATTTTATTCTTAAAATATTGAGACAAGTGTCTTAAACTGTACTTATTCAATTTATTGTCTTTAAAGAAAGCAAAATGTATAGATTCATTTTCGCTATGATGACTTCCAAAAATTGACCTAACAAATAATAACGCTAAATTATCATTTTTAAAAGAAAATAATGCATATATAAGTGAGAAGCCCACCTAAATGGGCCTCTTGTTGGGCTTAAAATCTCCAATGGGCCCTAGAAATCCCCAGAAAGCCCATCCACGCATCCAAGAATAATTCCACAGCCCAAGTCGCTACCAGATAATTGAAGTTTTCTCTTTTGAGCTTCTACTCAAAGTTTTAAAACCGGTTTTTTTAAAAGGTTTACATACCCTTATAAAAGATGTTTCATTTCGTTTCCCTCCCCGATAGATGTGACATCTCACAATCCACCTCCCTTGGAAGCCCAACATCGTTGCTAACACACCCCTTGGCGTCGCCTCTGATATCATTTGTAACAGCTCAATCTTATCGCTAGCAGGTATTATCCGCTTTAGCTTGTTACGATTGATGCCGGCTTCACGATTTTAAAACACGTCTACTAAGGAGAGGTTTCTATACTCTTATAAGGGATGCTTCGCTTCTCTCACCAACCGATGTGAAATCTCACAAAATCGTTGTGTCTATTCTCGCTCTCGACCATTGTGGCAAGAAGCCAATTCCCCGTTACTCTCCCGAACACAACAGATTGATGGTTCCGAGTACAAAAGTTGAATGATCAAAATCACAAGAAAAAAGACCATAAAATACCAACATTATACTATTTAAGTTTTGTAATAAAATAAAACCAGCTGGAATGGAATCTATTATATAAATTAATTCAAAAACACAAAACAATGAAAAAGAAGAAGAAATTAAGCAGACTTATACACAATTTTCCCAAAGAGATTAATAGGAAAGCATTGATGAGTTAAAAGAAACATCTAAATATATATATATATATATATAATTAATTAATTAATAATGCACAAGAAATGCATTTATATATATTTGATAATTTAAAATCAAAGGCAGTTTGGATTTCTGCCAGGGCCGCCGTAGAAGAAGTAGTTGCCCCAGTCGTCGGACTTGCCGGTCTGAACGTCGTAGCAACTTGGTTGCTCCGTGAACGTTGCAATGTCCTCCGGCGCCCGGAGGTTGTTGGAACCCCCGACAATCTGGCTTAATCCAACATCAATTAATAAAGATGATAATTAATTAGCCTAATTTAATCAAGTTTATGAAGGGAAGGGATGATTAAGGAACCTGGATGTTACGAAAGTAGGCGGCGTTGGCGAAGCCCTGGTCGGGGAAGTGGCCGCTGCCCATCTGAGTGGATGTGTGTTGGCCATCGGGTTCGGAGTTGACGACTTCGCCGCCCCACTCGATCATGGAGGCGCTGTCGGTGAGGTATGAGAATAAGAACGCCGGCCAATACCCCAAAACGTGGCTATTCCCGAATTGCATCCACCAGTTTCCTTCTTTAGGGTCCTACCAATTAGACAACCACTCAGAACACTTTAATGGATGGACGCAAAAAGTTGGACATGTTTGTCAGCCTTTCTCTGGTTTTCATCAAAGTTTTCGAGTAGGTGGCTAAAAGCACTTGTAATTTGTGAAGTTTTTGTTTTTTTATGAACTCCCAGTTCATATTTTGAACAACATTCAAGTGGGTATCTCTGTTTCCCCTGTTTTGATCAAAATTTGAAGAAAATTCAAGAGAATAAGTGAGATTTCCCCTGTTTTCTTCCTGTTTTGATTAAAACCCAGCTCAAATTTGGAAGAAAATTCAAGTGGGTTCGTGAGATTTCTAATTATTTTCCTGTTTTGATCAAAACCCAGCTCAAAATTTGAAGAAAATTCAACTTTTTTTCTATGAACTCACCTTCCAGATGAGCAAGCTAATGTCATATTGAGAGCCTCTGTAAGAAGAAATGGGATAAATGCTGGCACCCATGGCTATGTCATTGTTGATTTGGACAAACCCAGAACAGAGCAGATTGTAGCAGCCAGTGGCTTGATATGCATCACTCTGTTAGAGAGAAACATCGATCCAAGTTCAATTCTTCAGAATTTTGAATCGAAATTCATGAAAATTGAAAGCAGAACACCAAGAACAACTTACAGTCCAATAAGTGAAGAGTCGAGTATTGTTATCTCCATACAAATCAGGGCTAACCTGTTTAGAAGAACAAACAAAAAACTTGGTCAGATAATTGAAATCTTTCAGCCAAATTTCTAGAAAAAAGTCTATAATTTCTGAACAGTTCATAAACCTGCCAACCAGCTTCAATGCTATTAAGATCTTCCCCAAAAGTTCCTCCAAGAATCCAAATCTGCGAGAGGCTGAATTCGTTGGTCTGTTCGATTTTGGGTGACCAAACGTTCATAGTTGCCTTAGCTCCATAGTATTGTCCTCCTTCAACATAAGTTATTGCATGCTAACAACTCCAAAAGCAAAAAAAAGGGAGATTTAAGAAAGACCCTTTTGGGGAATGGTGAAAATACTCTGTTTCTGCAAGTACCTGATGTCCATTTTGGCCATTGAAATCGATATCAATGGAGTTTGGTTTCACAGTGGCATGAGCCCTCTTTTTGCCGTAGCTTTCCACAGAGCTTGCTCTTAAAATATCATCTCTTTTCGTTCTTCTAATGGGAATCGTCCCTTTTGGACACCTTCCTTTCAAGTGCCATAATTGAGTCATCGAAGCTTTTGAAGATACTTTACTGTCACTGAAAACCCCGTCTGGATGAAAATTTGGTCTCATCTGAAACAAAAAACCACAACCATTTTCATCCTCAGAACAAAAGAAAAAAACCCAGAAGAAAAAACAGACCTGAATCGTGTGGTTTCTGAGAAGAGGATGATCAAAAGCTGGTTGATGAGCCATATGAACACAATCGATTATATCGCCGTCTGGACTCTGTTTTTTTTTTTATTATAAGAAACCATTTTCAGTTGTTCTTGGAAAAAAGGAACACAAAATTTGAAGAATTGAGAAGTTTTATGACCTTGATGGACTTGAGAGGCGGTTTATTGAGCTTCTTCATGTGGGTGTGAGCTTCCAGCCGCCGGTGGCGGTGGCGGTGACTGGGGGATTTCCCGGCCGCCGCCATCAGAGACAGAGAAACCAGCATTAGCAGCAGCAGCAGCAGCTTTGCAGTACCCATTTCACTGAATTTTGAGAGGAAAAAGTTGAAGAACTTTATGGAATCGAAAAGGAAAATTGGTGTGGAATGGGATAGTGGCTGATTCCCAGAATAAGTGTGTTTAGCAGCCACTTAGCAGAGAGAGAAATAAGGGCACAATTTTAATTTTAATTTTAATTAATATTAAAATTAGAATTAAATTGTTATTGTTGATATGTTTTTTACGCCATGCCCTTCCCCAGTTTGCTACTGTCCAACACTAACTGCCGACGCCATCTTGCTTGTCCCCAGTTACAGAAGTCAAGCAGGGGTATTATGGACAATGCACTGCGCTATTTTTAAGGGGGGAAAATTAAAATTTTGAAAGAAAAATAAATGGTAGAAAGAGATTGCAATTTGGAATGGACTATATATAAAAAAATAATAATATTAATTAATGGAATATACCCGAAAAAGAAAACCATTAATCAAACGGTAAAAAAAAAAAAAAATCATAAGATCCCATATTGATGGGACAAAGCGGATAATATACCGTAGCTGTGAATTTAGAATGTTACAAATCAGGTGCGATTGTCCCCTTGAGAGCATGTTCTTCCATGCGTTAGGCCTAGGACACCCTTGAGGATTTGTGGTTTTGGTCATTTGTGTACTTCGGGGCATGTTCTTACATACCTTAGACCTAGGGTTTCCTCGAGAGTTTATGGTTTTGGTCATTAGCCAAGTCGGGAGCATGAACTTGGGTTCTTTCAAAGACTGATAATTCCGATGATCGTAGAATAGATTAGTTTATATAACTAAATTCAACTATGCTCTAATGAAAAGGTTCCATGTTGTATTCATGAAAGCTGACTTACCCGACAAGCTCATTTACTGCTATTTGTCTTTCAGTCTCCATGCTTTCAGACAATGCCCTCATGTGGACTCTTCTCTCTCTCTCTCTCTCTCAAATCTCTCTATCTCTCTCTCTCAGAATCTCTCTTGGAAATTCTGGTGATTGTGAATATTTAGTTATAATGTCAAAATTTAAATTTATAACAAAAATTATTATGTCTTTTTAGTTTATAAATATATTTATTTTAATTATTTACTCCATCTTCCGAAAAAAGAAATTGTATTAAATTAAACTTAGCAATCATATATTTTACAATAAATATTAAATTCTCATCAATTTTTATATTACGAGTATTAAATTGTTACGAGATTAAATGTAATTATCCGTTATTCCTAAATTGTTAATTCTGTAAAAAGAAAAAGACATCAAGGAAAATATACATTAAAAACAAATTAATATAACTTTTAACCCACATCAAGTTTATTTTAAATAAAGTTATTTCACCCATCATTTTTCTTGCCACAACAAATTAATCTAATTTAAATAAAATGTGAATCATAAAAGTCTTTAATTTTTTTTTTTTGAGTTTATTCGAATTATTTGATTGATTTATTCCATTTTTAAGATGTGTTTAGTTATTTTCCATTGATAAAAATAAATTCTAAACCCTTAAAATTTTATTTTTGAGATTTATTATTAATAATAATAATAATAATTATGAAATTAAATAAAACTAAAAAAAACAATAAAAGAAATGAGAAAAAGATATGATAGAATGGGCAAATGCAGTTGGAAGATTGGGTAGGTGGGCAATGCTGTCTAAATCCACTTTTAAAGCCACTAATTGTTGTTAAGATTATCAAATATTTTAAGGACTTTTTAATTAATACTTAGTGGACATTATTTGGCCGATAATATAAATTAAAGTTAATTTATAAGCGTGTGAAAAGTTTTGCTTAACTTTTTAAAAGCATAAAATTTATGGCGACAATACATAACGGACTAAAGCGAATAATATTTGTTAGTGATATAGTTTTAAAGACGTATCAATTAATATATATACATTACGAGCTTAGTTAGATCTCACGATCAATTGTCCATCATTTTATACGAACATACCACTTGCGGTGGTGGTGGAGTTGAATTTTTCTTTACCTAAAAATTAGTTCAAGAGATGGGACTTTTTTGAACAGTAAGAGGTTGGCAGTTTTCCATTGGCAGCATTGGATAATTTGAAAGTCAAAGATGACCAAATAAAGAAAAATAATTAAGCTGAAAATGAGTCAAATGTGCATTTAGAGAGAATACTTTGGTTAAATATTAAGACATGATGTCATAATTAATTAATAGATTTCACTAAAATCTTATCTTTCATATATGCCAACTTTATCCTAAAGTATTAAAGGATGTTCTACATTAAGTTTATTATATTAATAATAATAATAACAACTCTATATTAAAAAATAATAATGAAAAAATATAAAATGAATCTAGAACCAAATAATTTTTTAAATGATAATTAATGTTTTTATATGAAATAATTTCAATAATTTAGAGAGGTAAAAAAGGGTGTAAAATGAAAAGGGGTTGCCCACAATTATTGTCTGATTATGGACCCGTGATAAGATTCCCATCAAAGCAGCCACTTCCAGATTCTAACCAACCTCAAAATTTCTTCTTCTTATTATTATTATGTTCGGATCAAAAATCACAATTCAAATTTAAATGTCTCCGTAATTTTCTTGCATTTCGATAAGACATGTTCATATTACCTATGTTTTTCACTTCTTAAGCTTGATAACTACCCGAACAAACTAACACTTGTCCTTTTTTTATCATGTTTTTCCTCACTCACATATCTAGTAATTTTAGCTTTAAGTAAAACACGCTTGACTATGAAGTTTTTATGACTGAGCCACTAACACGTTGTTGGCCTTTCTTAGTCATTCTACTCTCAAAATCACTTATTTGGATGTGAGTTCAGTTCATTCGTGTACTTTCTCCTTTACTCGGTGTCGCATATGAGTTTATTAAATACAAAATTGAAAGTTTATATAAATAAATAAATAAAAAAAATTAAATTATTATTATTTTAAATGAAATTGGATAATAAATGAACTTATAAACTAATAGAAGACAGCTTCACAGAAGTAGTAATAATTTCCCCCTTTTTTATATAAATAAACTTTCACTTTAATTTGAAATATTGGAGAAAGCAACTAAAAAAGGAAACCATTAATAAAATATTAATTTTTTAATATAGTTTTCTTTTTGTTGGGAGGTGACATGGAAAAAAAAAACACATTATTTCATTTTAATTTTGCATGTTAAGAATTGATAATAAAAGAATTAAAAATTAAAAATTAAAAATAAAATAAAAAAAATATTTTTTAATTTATTTTAAATTTTTGTGTGGTGAGTATTGTTGAATCACATGCATCAAAGGTAAAGTTGCTGTCTTCGGGTAAAATCCAAAGTAAGAAAATGATAAAAAGCTAATAAGCTCAAGTTTGAATTGAATCCCTACATTCGCATTCAATTAAATTAATTAATTTCATTTTCCAAAAAATTATAAACAATTTTAAAATTATAGGTTTAGTTTATATAACATTTATTTAAAAAATGAAAAAAATAACAGAAAAAATTGAGGGTCGTTTTGTATCATAAAAATAAATTTAATTTTTTTATGACGACAAAATAATTTAAATTTTTGACATTTTTATAAAAAATAAATGATTTAATGTTTTAATCAGTTAAATTACGATGGTCGTATTAATACGTTTTTCAAATCATGTTTATTCATATATCAAACCAAAAATCATTTACCCTTTTTGTCATCACTCAAAAAAAAAAAAAAAAAAAAATCCAATAACTATACACACCACTCGTATAATGTACACAAATAAATCAACGAATAAAGGGGGGAAATTCAATCAAACATGAACTAATATTTCCACCAATTTCATCATTCAGTCATTTGCTGCTGCAGAAGAAAATGGAAATCTGATTTTTGTCTCATAAGTGGCGGCGGGTCGACGTTGGACAGGTTAACCCCGCCGTCCTCAGCAAAGGATCGGAATATTTCTTCCATTGAGAATGGTATGCTGAAAATGGTTTTTACGCCACGAGAATCGATAAGTAATGCTTATTGGTTCTAAAGATTCATAATATAACCGTTTAAGCCTACTGCTAACAGATATTGTCCTCTTTGGGTTTTCCTTCAGGGTTCCTCGGAGAGGTAGGAATGTTTGTTCCCCTCTCAAATTGATGTGGGATCTCACAATCCACCCCTTTGGGGGTCAATGCTCGGTGGCTGGCTCTGATACCATTTGTAACAGTTCAAGTCCACCATTAATAGATATGGTTCTATCTAGGGTTTTCTTTCGGGCTTCACCTCAAAGTTTTTAAAACGTGTTTGTTAGAGATAGGTTTTCACATCCTTACAAGGAATGTTTGTTCCCCTATCCAACCGAGGGGGATGTCAGGCCGAATAACTTTGGATATAGAATGTAAGTTTGTACCTTGAATCGACATCAAGAAGGAAAGAGTTGTTTGGGATGTTGATGGAATCTTCTGCTAGAAGGACTCTCATTTTTCCAATGATCTGCAAAAACATGTTGAGGTTTGTAATTTTGTGTTTTGGATTATGAACTTGTGGCTTATTATTAATCACTTACATCAGAAGATAATCCCTGAGTTCCATATTTGTCGTCCCAGAACATCGTGCCGATGCGATAAATTTGTGGGATGCTCAGAATCTGATACAAAAAGAAAGAAATAGCAGAGAAGTTAGCTTAACCATGGTGTAACAGCCCAAGCCCACCGCTAGCAAATATTGTCTTCTTTGGACTCTCCCTTTCAGGCTTTCCCCTCAAGGTTTTAAAACGCATCTGCTAAGGAGAGGTTTCAACACCCTTGTAAAAAATGCTTCATTCCCCTCTCCAACCGATATAGGATCTCACAATCCACCCCCTTCGGGACCCAACGTCCTTGTTGGCACTCGTTCCCCTCTTCAATTAATGTGGGATCCCCCAATTCAACCCTCTTCGGAGTCCAACGTCTTCGTTGACACACTGCCTAGTGTTCACCCCTTTCGGGGCTCAGCCTCCTTGCTCACACATCATCCAATGTCTAACTCTAATACCATTTATAACAGCTCAAGTCCACTGTTCTTTGGGCTCTTTGGGCTTTCTCTTCCAGGTTTTTCCTCAAAGTTTCCACACCCTTATAAAGAATAAAGAATGCTCTGTTCCCCTCC